CCCCTCGCCAACCCTTACCCTAATATTAATTAAATATTAAAAAACATATAAACACACCTGGCTTTAGCCATCCCCTTCTTTTGGAATTAGCATGTGCCGATTAAAGTGCTTTGTAATAAGGTTTTTTATATGCATGCGAATTTCTTTGCTAGCAAGTTGATATTCTGATTTCGATCTATTTACATTTTCTTGAAATGTCTCATTAAAGACTGGTAGAGCTGGTTGCCATAAAGGGTCGATTATTGCACACTGTTTATGTGCTTCAACTGCATTGTATCTTATTGTTTGAATCTTTGTTCTTGATGATAACTTTTGCTCTATAGCACGCATGACATGCCATAAACACAGTTGCACTTTAACGTTAGTCCAAGTAGCCTTTGCTGCATTTATTTGTGATAGGTCTTTGTCAGTATAAAAAATTTGCACATTCGTTAACTGTTGTGCTTTTAATTTCATAAACTATTCTGTAATAATACTAGTAATATTACGATTTTTGCCTGGTGGTATAAATAAATAAGAAATAGGAAAACCGGCACCATCCACGATTGCCATAGCCACATATAGTTCATACTTATATTTGTTAGTATTATATGTCGCATCCACCATTAGCTCCATTAGTTTATTTAAGGGCAATATATCAAAAAAAGCAGTTACGAAAGCAAAACCATAATCTTCAAAAAAAAGAATTTTTTGATTTTGCTTTTGTAAAAAAGTTCTTGCTGAAGCAAGTTCATCATCACAATATCGATATTCAACTTGCACGATAGATGACCACCAATAATAAACCTGCTTAATTGTTAGAAACTCATATCCATTTATACGTTGGTCCTTAATCGACTGATAAATGTTTGGTACACTTTGTCCGATGCAAGAATTTATGTAGCTTTTAATTTCTTTTGTTACACTAATCTTTTCTAATCGTGGATGTAAAATATTATGGGATACATTAACAGTTACTTTGTTTTGCGAATAAATTTTAACTGTAACTAGACCTTTACATTCATAACGTTCAATATATGGCTCACTATTACGTTGCTTTGAAATATCCTCAACCTTTCTTTGTGGTTTACTCAATCCTTTTCGAGCATTACACCAATATGTTAATGTTGTAAAGTCGGAATTTTTACTATTATATTTCTTATTAAATACATAGGTATATCCATCTCCACAACTAATTTCATTAATAACTAAATCAGCGATATATGAATTTTTTTCTTTGATGATATCTTCAGTTGAAGTATTCTCATAAATAGAATCTAGGTCAATATCGAATTGAAGTTGGAAAGAAGCTTGTCCTTCTAAGTTATCATCCAAGTTTTTATGTTCTAAAAGTGCATAATATATGAAATCTTTAATATCGGTGAAATTCATAATATTTTCCTTTTCGGCTATGAAATCGTTAGTTTCTTGTCGCTTCCGTTTTTTCGCCTGTGAAGAACTAATGCGACAAGTCATACAACGGGCTCGAATATCATTTTCACCAACAATAATAGTTGGCGGCACTTATTTTGAACTTTAACTATAAATTTTGATTAATTTCTTTCACTTTCTCATTTTTTTTTATTTTATAAAAATTGTAAATTTTTATTAGCTAATCAACATGTGATATTTTTCACATGACAAAAATTT